TGACATACTATTTACAAAATCAGAACCTCTTATTAAAATTTATGAACAAAACTTAAACAAAATTTACTCTTAAAATATAAGCCACTAACACTTCAAAATTTTAACACAAAAGGTAATCTCTTACTTACACTGATTAGTAGAGATAAACAAATTATTACTCCCACTGATTAAGAGAGTAAAAAAAAACTTTATAAATGCCTGTAAAATGAAACAGACACCTTTCAAATACTCCCATTAGCAAAACATTAGTCATGGGATCTAAAACATAAAATTTGTGAGCTTCACATCTTTATTTTAGATATTTGTAGGGAAGTGATTCTCGTGATTGAAAAACTATACAAAATTATTTGGTCAATTTTGTTCATCTAACAATTGACAGAACTAGAAAACTTTAACTGAATGTTTTCTAATGCATCAAAAGCATATAATTCTAGAATCATCTTTGGACAGAAACTAATTATATTAGGTTTGTATAGCTAAAACATAAAATACAAGGGCAAATGTATATAGCTTCAACACTTTTGAGTAGATGAAGTATATGCAATCTTGTCAATTTCATGTGAATACATTGATTTATAGTTGTACTGAATAGGAAAACACTTTTGAGCAGATTAATTATTCATCAATAACATATAAGTCACAGGTCCAATTTCTTGAACAACATACAAGAATTAATAAGCAAAACACTTTTGAGCAGAATATACTCATTAACCCTTCTTGAATTTCCTACAAGATTAGTTGCACATATAACAAATAAAATATAAATAAGTATGATAATGTACGTTTTATCTACCAAAACTATGACCATTAAAAGCATGCAAAACTAATGAGTGTGAAGCCCATAATACATTATTTCTCCCACTTGGGCAAACACTCAAAATTGCAAGATTAAACACTAGAGAAAGTGGTTTTCATTTAACAAAATATATGCAAGTTGAATCAATAAAGATCAAATACATAATTTTTTTTTTAAAGTAGGTTAGAATTAAAAGGTTCCATAAATAAAAAAAATTTATGCAATGACTACAAATTTTATTTTATCTTAGTGTATGAGAGAAGACTCACATATGTGTTAAAGATTAGGTCATCGATTAAAATGAAACCTAATAAGAGAATCCAAACTCAAAATTTATATTTTAATTCTAAAACAAAGTTGAGTAAAATAAACACTTAGATATCTCAACAACAACTATTTTTTTTTAATAATTTTAATCCAATTTAGAACTCACAGAAAATTGAGGCAAAAGATTGGCAAATTTATCTACTCATTCTCGATTCTGCAAGATTCATCATGGAAGTAGTCGAGTTGTGGAGGATCGAACCAACTCCAAATTGCATGATTGTTACACCTTTGGGCAGAAACTAATCATGCAAAGAAAATACCTGCATAGCTAGCCAAAACATAAAATACACAAAATACATATAGCTTCAACAGCTTTGGCCAGATGAAAATATGTTAGATGTACTTTATGATTTACTATAATACTAATTTATAATTGGTGAGTGATTTCCTGAAATTCCCATTGGGACAAAAGTATTCACCATATAAATTAGAATTCTGATTTTTCTTTAGAACAATATTAAATAACCGTTTTGTTGGATATTCAATGATTCTCAAAAGATTCAATCAGACACAAAAGTATGTCGTTATTGACATTGAACAATAGAGTTCTCGAAAGAGGAAACATGGTTATTCAGTTATTCGATAGGAACCAAAATGATCAATTAGTAAACTGATGCCACTTTCCAATTTTCTCTCAAAAGACAATCATCATAATCAGAATTGATGACCAAACAAAACATTGGTTTAAGCAAAACAAACCAATATATCTTTAAATCAAAATTTAATTAGTGTTGTCTATATAAAATTCATTAGTATTGAGAATTTGCATATAATAAGGACATATTGGAACCATAACCTTGTATAATAATTGGTACCAATAGATGTGCACAAATCAGTGAAACAATATCACATAACAAAACTAGTTTTGAAGTACCAAAATTCAGCAGTACTACTTTAGTTTGCAAATTCACTTAAAACTCAATTCTCTTTAGATTGTCATGAAAATTTTCAAGTATGAACTATACATATATGACTACTATTTCGAAAAATTTCATGATTTTTAAAATCTTATAAGTGAGCCAAAAATGAATTCGAAAAGAGAGGTGCTGCAGAAACAGCAGAAAATTTTCATCTGATATGCATGAAAATTTTCAGACATAAAGTAAACATACAAATCTGTTAATTTCCAAAATTTCATAATTTTTGAGACTTTACAAGTGTACTAAAAGAAAATTAGAAATGGGATGTGCTGCAGAAACGACAAAAATTCTGCAGTACATACCGGAGACTAAATAATTCACCAAAAATTCAATTTGTCTCCAATATGCATGAGAATTTCCAGAAATGAAGTAGACATATAAATTTACTGTCACCAAAAGTTCCATAATTTTTTCAATCTTAAAAGTGGGCTAAAAATAAAATCGAAATGGAATGTGCTGCAGAAGCTGCATAAATTCTGCAGGACAGTCCCGACATTAAAAATTCACCAAAAGTTCATTTGCAAACCAATGCTTGTGAAATTTTCTAGATTTGAAATAAACATCTCAATGTATATCATACTAAAATTTCATGAATTTAGGAGTTACATAGATATATCAAAATAATATCACAAACAGACTATTCTGCAGAAGTCTACAGAATTCCAGCAATATGGCTTCACACTTAAAAATTTACCTTTCTGGTCCCAAAAACGTGAAAAAAATACCAGCGTCTATAATCCATCTGATATTATGACATGACCAAATTTCATAAAATTTGGAGTTATGAAAAATCTATCAAAATCAGAAACTAAAAATGGAACAATTGCAAGGTACGCTAAACTACATGAACATAACTAATCTTGTTTTCATAACTTTACTAAAATCTCATTTTTCTTTTTAAACAACATTTAGCATGTCGATTGTGATATATCAAAATCTCCCTTTAAGATAAGAAAACAATTTAAAAATGACACCAAAATGGCCACGGCATTAATATGTGTATTTGAGAAATTTCCCAAAACCACTTGAGTCTCAACTTTGCAATTTCTTAGTTAATATGTATGGGAAAGTTAGTCTGCAAAGTAGTTGGACTTTATATTCAAATTAGTTCAACTAATCAACTAACACACCAAAGTGGCCATACCATTATTCTTGTAAACCATTACTAAAAAATATGAGCAAACTGGAATAAATGAAATTAAATGCAATTGAGGAAAATCCTCAAAGCCTCATTCTAGGCATTAGGAATTGAAGGCCCAGAAAACATAAAATGTGAACATGATATAAGATCACAATGGCTCACTCAAGTTATCTCCTAATGGCAAGTGATTCACATTGAAAAATCCTCGAAAACAACCAAAATTAAACCTGATCATTGAGATGGTGCGCTAGGAGAAAGAAGTGTGCAAAATAATTATTAACTTAAAATGGGATTCCAAAACAAGGAACCCTAACCACTGCCCAGGAGCAACACAAATGCCAACCAAGCGGATCAAAGCCAATCTTGATATTAATCATGTTAAAAAAATTAACAATAGTTAAATTATTTATATGCATATGTGCCAAGCCTTCGAACTTTAAATCCAATGCAAAATTATTATTAATTATATATATATATATATATATATATATATATTTGAGGTACAGCCATATATAAAGCAATCAGATTTGCTTCTTAATTAATCATTATCACTACATGGCTAAGAAAACTTATCTTTAAGTTTTCCCATGAAAGCCAGAACAAAACCATTTTTGATACTTACATGAGAATCATGAAGTTAGAAAAGTAATTATAAAAATACTCTAAAATTAAGCGGAAGCCTCAGGATCGATAAGTAAAAGACCTTTAACTAAAACACAAACTAATTGTGCCTTCAGTTTGTCAAAAATTTGTTCAAACAGATTACCTTTAATCCGAACCCTCAAGCCTTGCAAATTCCCTAGCAGATTTGTATGTGCAGACAAAAATAATACAACTACACGCAGAAGTAATTTCTACAGATGGATCAGATTAAAAATAATAATAACATCTAAATAATTATTTGCAAAGCCAATATGATACTCAATCCGCATATTGAATTATCAGCAATTAAATCAATGAATCATATTATTCGCGGAAGCTTTACACATTGTAAAGGATAAAAAGTGATGGCATGATATTAGAACGTACCATTATATTCAAAACCAACCATGATCGAAGTTCTAAATCCTAGACAAGTTGAGTGGCTCTGATACCACATGTAAGATGTAATCTGAAAATCAACAAGTTACTAGGATCACAGATATAACAAATATAACTACAATAAACCAATCAAACAATTAAAGGGAAATAAACTTATCTTCCAAAGCAGAGGAAGAAGACGCCATGACTGTTAGGGTTTCACAGGTTGTCTTCTACTTACAGTACTTCAAAATGTCTCTCTACCGTGAATAGGGTTTGGCGTGATTGAGAGTACAAACGTATGGAAGCAGGGATTTAACTGTGTATTTATATCATTAGGGTTTTCATCACATCCGACCTATCATTGGCTGTGAAGATCTACCCTATCTCTCTAGTATTTAAATCCCACCATGATACGATATCTTTGTAATAAATCTATTAGATTTCATCTAGGTTAATTGCAAGGGTTAAGACTCCATAATCCTTATTTCACTAGGACTATCAGATTACTTATGTCATTAACAACTCGATAAACAAGTGGCCTACAACATAAGTAATCCAATACATCATTCATTGTCATTCACAACCTTACAGTCAAGTCTTGTCGTACTCGTAGAGGTCGAAATGAAGATGGTATTGGACGTGGAGCATCTAGTGGTTTATCAATTTTTATCTTTGTACTTATTACAGATTAATTCAAGATGTCATGCTAATGACATGATGATATCTAAAACCTTGCATTGCTAGCTAATAGGATTGTGACTAGATATAAAAGTCTTATTATTCATGGGTTCAGATTTCGCACAAAATCTGTGGATGATAAGCATAAGAATCAAAATGGTGATGTCTTTGTACTTGAAAATGTCCCTGATGCAATTGGGCAAGTGAATTGTTATGACAGAGTTGTAGATATGTTTAAGGTTAGATATTGTGGTCCCACTGAGGCAGGAGATAGGGGTTGAGCTGTGATGTTGTTTAAGTGTGAATGGGTTAATAATGAAAGTCCAAGAGGTATGAAGACTAATCAATATGAAGTTTCTTTGGTGAACTTCAATCGGTTGGGATTTGAAAAAGATCATTTCATATTAGCTTCACAACCATTATAAGTATTTTATGTGGAGGATACAATTGAAAAAGATTGACATGTAGTTGTTCGAATACAGCCGAGGGATTTGTTTGACGTATTGGAGGATAATGATGCAATTGATGATTATGTCATACCTAATTTGGATGATCAGGTACTTGACAATGAAAATTTGCATACAAGGGTTGGCATGGAAGAGACTCATTTTCATGAAGCATTACCATTGCCTACCGAGTTCATTAATTATGTTAATGACAACAATGAGCTAATAGATGATGATGTGAAATAGTTTTATTATTTATTGTATTTTTTTAATTATTGATTAGACTATATTTTAGTTTGTTTGGTGACATTGTTATTGTACAATTATCTTTTTGTTTCTTTATCGCATATTTTACATGGGTTAAATTTTATCAACCAAAAGACAATATTGGTACATGGGTTAAACAATTATTTTACATAGGTTAAATAAAAAAACAAAGAAAAAAACAGCAACAATTATTTTACATGGGTTAAATTTTTTTTTAACTCTTATTCCTGTCGAATAATGTGGAATTAATGTCAGATTTATTTGACACGGAAGTTCATGCGTGCTAAATTTTGGGCAGGAAATCTCCCACCAGCTTTACACGGAAAAGATTGATGTCAGTTTTAATTCGACAAAATTGGGCAATTGTGTCGGTCTTAAGGTAATTGTATCGAATAGGGTATCAAATTTTTGGGCGGGAAATTTCTGGCGTAATTGGGCTTTAAGCTTTACTATTTGATGTAATTGGGCAATTGTGTTGGTTTTAAGCTTTACTATCTGACGTAATTGGGCAATTGTTTTGGTTATGTGGTATTTGTGTCAAATAGGGTATTAATTAATGCATAATTAAATATATTTTTTTCGTCAATTTTTATCAGAAACAAATAATGTCGGTGGTACTGTGTCGTTATAATCGACACCATTTAGTATTCCTAGCTTTTTAACCGACGCAAGGTTTTAACCCTAGATAAAAGGCCTTCTATTCCCCCATTTTGCTCCGTGCGCCAATTCTCCCCTCTCTATTTCCTTTTCCTTCTACTTGCAACTCTTCCTCTTTTCTTCTCCTTTCCCCATTTTTTATCTCCTTTCCTTCTCCTTCATGTTGCCTTTTCTTCCAATCTCCACTAAAGAACAATTCGAAGAGCAACAATTCGAGGAGCAAATTTTGAAACTAGTATATTTTAGATTATTTGTATTATATTCAGTTTGTGGTTTATATTTTGATTATGTTATTAAATTGAGTTTGTGTTCTGAATTTTGACTAGAGATACATTATTAAATATTATGCATAAATTGAAAATTGGTTCTTGTTTAGGGCTTTTATATGTATCCTTTGTTTTGTTTTTTTATTAATAAGGAACAGCTCAATGGAGAACTTGCGGATGTGGAATTCAAAAGTGGTCAAGTAAACAACCTTGTTCAATTGATTTGATGGGAAAATGTATTAGTTCAAATGGTGGTGATTTTTCAAAATTTATTGTGTCTGAGGTTAGGGATCCCCGAAATCTTCCTTTGACGAGGGATTGGCATTTGATTTTGGAAAAAGACAAAGATATTTTGTGGAATAGAATTCAGGTATATATTGTCGTTTTCTTAGAAATCGTATAACTTGTAAATGTCTATAAACATAATTAACTAACTTGTATATTTTTTATGAATTTAGGTACTATTATTTTTGGGATGAAGATATAGACAAAATGTCTTTGATTCGCAATATGAGGCTTGCTATTACGAAGCATGCATACAAAGAATACATGAATGGTTTAAAGGCCGTCTATTATACCAAAAGACAAAAGGATGAGCACTTACAGCCTCCTCCTAATGTGGATTTTGGTCAGTGGGCAGAGATGGTGAAATATTGGGATAAGTGAAATACAAAGGTAAAACTTTTATGATTGAATTCAAGAATGAGATTGAATTCAAGAATGAGGTTGACTTGGCAGATGAAGGAGTTTGAGGAAGGATTCAAGCAATTGAATTCAAGAATTGCCTTGATATTATGTTAATTGGAGGAAGATATTCACTTAACGATGCACCTCCCAATTCACTTGGTTGACGAAGCAACTTTTGTGGGCCTGTTCAATAGGGAAGGATGTATCCAATTGAACAGTAATTAATAGATCTTTATAAAATTTTATAATTTACACTGATAACTTTAATTACTAATTATAATTATTTGTGTTTCGTGTTATAATAGTAGGTATTTGCAAACACTGAAGCATTATATTCGTAATAAGGGTTGTCTTGAAGGTTCCATTGCTGAAGCGTATTTGGTGGATGAATGCTTGTCCTTCTGTTCATTATACAAGTAGCAATGACAAAGTAATTATGAATTAAAGTATGTTGGATTGACTAGTCAAGCTCACCAGTCAACTAAGTACAGATTCCCTAGTTAACCAAATACAAATCTATGAATCAAACTTAATTTACTACAAGTTATCCTAGTCAACAACAATTCAGTTCATTGTTCATAATATGCAGTGTAAACTTAGTCGCAATATATCAAATAACAACTCATAGGATGCATGAAACATATGCTAGTAAATAAGATATGTGAACAAGTTTAAAAAACAAAGAACGCAAGAAGTCTATGGATGAAAAAACCCACATCTGGGTTAAAAAATAAGGGATTTTCTACCAAGTCCAATCCACTAGCACAAATAAGATTCTTACAATGTACCATGCCAAGCTCAATTTCTAGACCTAATGTATGGAGCAGCTTTACCTTTGTACAACCTTACTCTGCATAAGATTCCTTCAGTCTTTACGAGGTGGTAGCTCATCCTGAACTCTTCACCTTGTGGCACCAAGACCAACACACACAAATGTACATGATATGGTAATAATGGTAGTGTGCAAAATAAATTCAATGACTAGTCAATCTTGTTAGTCAAACAATTGAAGGAAGAAACTGATGTGAATCCAAAAATGACTCAATAAACAAATTTGAAACTTGAAGAACTGGACCACGAATTTAATCCAAAACATGAAAACAATGCTACCCTATTTTGCAATGATTGGATGTTTAATGCATAAACATAGTTTTGTGGCTAGGGTTTCTAATGAAGCACACAAGAGGGAGATTGGGTATTTAATGCATGAACATAGTTTTGTGCCATTGATTACATATATAAGGTTAGAGTGACGGTTGGATGTATTGGACTACCATGACATCATCATGTGGTCACACATAAAATTAGAACATAATCCATAACAATGACATACATAATTCACAATGATCACATCTCAAAGTTAACTTTAACAAAAAATTAGCATGGCATTGGAAGAATCATGTGGTCTTGGAGATTGCAACAAGTTCCTTCACCTCGTTTCTCTTCACCGCCTACATAGTCTTTTTTATTATCAGATGTAACCCACCTCCCACTGTGACAAATCATTATAGGTACCTTCCCTATGTTATGTTGCACAGACCTGAAATTACATATAAGATTGCATCAAAACTAGTGAACACACCATGCACACCATGTGGTATGGGGTGTGAGATTTGACAACACATTAGCCTATATATTGGAAATAAAGTAGCGGGAGTTGATAAGCTAAAGTTAGAAATGACTTTTTTCATCACACAATTTGGAAGCAAAATTCAAGTTGGGATAAAACGAGTAGTGGGAATTCCTACAACTTTTGTGGGTCATATGCATTACATCCTCAGAACTTAAACACCTTTAACACAATCTTTTTTACCCAACAGGTTTTCATCGACATCATGCTACACTTATATAAATAGGTTTCTCACACTTAGTTGCCATAACCATTAACCCTATAGCACAAAAGGCATTCCATTTCTTAGATATCCAAAACAATTCACAACACATATATGTCCAAGTTCAGACATGAAACTAAGGGTTTTAATGCCGAGTTCCCCAAGTGGTACAACATGGAATCTCCTCAACTTTCAGGTCACCTAAGGCAAATCCTGCATCATTATTAGCTCTGTCGATCTCACACCAATTTCATCCCAAAATTGTATGAGGCTTCTACAATATCCTTTATGGAGAAAGTCTTTGATAACCAAGCCTCAACTTCTTTAAGCATAGCTTTGTCATTTCCTATTAACAATATGTCATCAACATACAATACTTGAAAAATCATTGAATGTCCAATTTGCTTATTGTAAACACATAGTTCATCTAAATTTTGTTCGAAACCATATCCTTGAATGACTTCATCAAATTTGATGTTCCAACTTCAAGATGCTTTCTTAAGACCATAAATAAACATTGAAGTTTGCATACTTTATATGCTTCACCTTTAAGAATAAATCTTTTTGGTTGTCCTATATATAGTTTTTCATCTAGATAGCCATGTACAAAAATACTTTTCACGTTCATCTGCCATATCTCATAGTTATAATGAGCGGATATTGCAAGAAAAAATTCGAATAGATTTCATCAAGGTAATCGGCAAGAAAGTCTCATCATAATCAATACCTTCTCTCTATTTGTGCCCTTTTAGCTACAAGTCTAACTTTGTACGTTTGACTTTGCCTTTGATGTGAAATATTCTAACACACAAATTAAACCCTATTAAGATAGTTGTAGTATATGAAAGTAGGGATCGTTCTAGACCGGGGATTAACTAGGGATGCTAATCTACACAAATATGACTCAAAAACATAAAACTAGACTTAGAAACACTCAACTAGACACTAAAAACTCAAAACACACTAAACAGACTCTAAACAGCATAATACTAGCAAATAGACTCAAAACAGACTCTAGGGAGTTATTTGGATGAATTTAAGATTAGTAAGACTCAAAACACTAAATTGGACAGATTTGAACACTTTTCTAACTAATCTAACACACTTAATTAAAAGGGGGATTGATTTGGATGAAATTTAACTAAACTAAATAGATTGCAAAACAAAGTAAATTAGGTGATTTGAATGGTGAAAACTTCGCCAAAGGATCCTTCTCCACACATGAACCATATGCAACATAAATCGATTTCCAGTATTGTTTATTTAAACCATGAATGAAAATGCCCCAAATTAATTGTGAATGCACTAATTAACTTTCAGATTTTCCTAAGTTCATTGAATTGAATGGACGACGCATCGCAACCAAATTATTCTTCTCAAGTTCTCTATATGAACAACATGATAGAGATACATATTAAAGATCATTAAGTTCTATGAAATCATAAGCATTGACAAGGCATTCATAACTATGAATTGCATGATACTCTTGCCAAGAATTTATTTAACACGATTGTGACTAGCAATCTCCACTACTTAT